ACGGGCTGCAGAATCAGGAGGGATCCATATGCATGTGTGGGGTAGGGCGAAAGAACACAATGCAAGCAGGTCAGAGGGGCACATGCCAGCATAGCCAACCAGCATCACACGCCTGGGCACCGAGGGCACATAACATACACCACATGGCAGGCAGCAAGCCTGTCGCTCACCAGCTGCAGAATCAAGCGGGATCCAGATGCATGTGTGGTGTTGGGCGAAAGAAAACAAAGCAGGGTAGTCAGAGGGGCAGACGCCAGCATAGCCAACCAGCATCACACGCCTGGGCATCGAGGGCACATAACAAACACCACATGGCAGGCAGCAAGCTGATCACTCACCAGCTGCAGAATCAGGAGGGATCCAGATGCAGGTGTGGGGTAGGACGAAAGAACACAATGCAATCTAGTCAGAGGGCACATGCCAGCATAGCCGGCCAGCATCACTCATGGAATACTACATAACATACACCACATGGCCGGGCAGGAACACACATCTGCGCATCGAGGGCACACGACAAGCACCACATGGCGGCAACAAGCCGATCACTCACGGGCTGCAGAATCAGGAGGGATCCATATGCATGTGTGGGGTAGGGCGAAAGAACACAATGCCGCAGGTCAGAGGGGCACATGCCAGCATAGCCAACCAGCATCACACGACTGGGTATCGAGGGCACATAACATAAACCACATTGCGGGCGGCAAGCCGATCACTCACCCGCTGCAGAATCCAGCAGGATCCAGATGCATGTGTGGGGTAGGGCGAAAGAAAACAAAGCCGGCTAGTCAGAGGGGCACATGCCAGCATAGCCAAACAGCATCACACATGGAATACTACATAGCACATAACATACACCACATGGCAGGCAGCAAGCCGATCACTCACCAGCTGCAGAATCAGGAGGGATCCAGATGCATGTGTGGTGTTGGGCAAAAGAAAAAAAAGCAGGCAGGTCAGAGGGGCACATGCCAGCATAGCCGGCCATCAGCACACATGGAATAATACATGGCACATAACCAGCACCACATGGCGGGCAGCAAGCCGATCACTCACCGGCTGCAAAAATAGGAGGGATCCAGATGCATGTGTGGGGTAGGGGGAAAGAACACAATGCAGGCAGGTCAGAGGGGCACATGCCAGCATAGCCAACCAGCATCACACGTCTGGGCAACGAGGGCACAAAACCAGCACCACATGGCGGGCAGCAAGCCAATCACTTACAAACTGCAGAATCAAGCGGGATCCAGATGCATGTGTGGTGTTGGGCAAAAGAAAACAAAGCAGGCAGGTCAGAGGGGCACATGCTAGCATAGCCAGCCAGCAACACACATGGAATACTAGAAGGCACATAACAATGCAAGCAGGTCAGAAGGACACACGCTAGCATGTCTATGCACACATAAAACCTTAATGTGGCATCGAGGTCCCGGGCGTTTGCTGAGCCATTGTGAGATACACCTGGCGCTGGTGCATGCTTGGGCATGGTGCTCAGAGGGTGCCTAGCACCATGTGTGCCTGCAGGCAATGTTGGCAATGTGGACAGTTCCTTTTGGTGGGCAGCTCTGCTGGTAGTGCACCCTAAAGTGAGCAGGCTCCCTCCCAAACAGACTCCAGCAAGGTAAGGATTCTAATCGGTGGCAGGGCAGGGGGTATGCACAGGCGTTGCAGGCGCAAGAGTGGCCAAATGTTGTGGGCTGGGTACCCTCCAAAGGCGGCCCGAAAAAATGTGCCAGTGCAGAGGTTTGGGGGGCAACTCCAGAGTTGTCGGGCCTGTTTAGGCCTATTTAGGACACCCCCCCCTCCCCCCTGACATCTCTGCTGCTGTTCCCAACGCACCAGGCCAGAGGGATGCGAAGGCCACAATCAGCAGCAACCAGACCAGTTTAGAGCTCCTGCGCGTCGGCATGCTCGCTATAGCCCTGCAGCTGGTGCTGGTAGAGACGGGAAGGCCGGTGTTTCCGGGGCCCAAGCGGGTGAGCAGCTGGGTGGAGGCACTGGTGGAAGCACTCAATTATCAGAGCCTACGGCAAAATAACGAAGCTCCCGGAGCGCCTAACTCTGGCATGGAATAATAATGG